AGTTTTTTGGTCAAAAATTTAAAAAATGGGGCTGCTCAGAACTCAAATATAGATGGCTGCTGATTGGCTTGTCCTATGGGGACGAGAGTAAAGGTAGGAATTAGCCAAACAAAAAAGCAGCAGAGGCCTAAGAAGTTTAAAAATCTAAAAAATAAGAATTAAAAATAGTGAGAGAGAGATGGAGAGAGACAGAGAGAATAAGTAGGGTGGCTCCTGGCTAGGTCTGGGGGGCAGAACAGTCAAATCTGGATAGAAGTCTTCAGTGGTCGTAATCCTACAAATGTAAATCTTTTGTAAAAATTATTTTATTATTATTATTTTTTAAAATTTGCTATAAGCATGTGTGCTCACCAGAGAAACAAAGAGTGAGATAGCAAGTTCCCAGGTCCAGGACTCGAACTGAGGTTGGCCATATGGAAGTCCAGTGCCCCAACCACCATGCCACCTGCTGGCCACTATGTATATAAATCTTAATGGCTAATTACTATTTTACACAAGAATGAATCTCCTGTGTTTGAATCGTTCAGTTATATACATTTTTTTCCTCACGAGTATTAATTTTTTTCTTTTCTTTTAGATTTTTGCCATAAGGCGCATGTACTCATCAGAGAGAGAGGCAGAGGAAGAGAGAAAGGGAAAGCGAGAAATCACACTCTTCCCCTCCCCCATGGGAAGGCCCCACCACAATTACAGTATCTTTTAACATCTTTTTTTTTTCCCTTAGATTTTTGCTATAGGGTGCTTGTGCTTGTGGGAGAGACAGAGAGACAGAAAGTGAGAAATCACCCCCTATGGGGGATGGCTGTGCCACAATCCCTTCTCTGTCCTCCTCTTGGGATATTGGGCACACACGCACATGGGCCTGGCATGAGTTTTAAGCTGCTGGGTCTGGGACTTGAACCATGGTCAACTACATGGGAGTCCAGCAATGCACCCATTATGCCATCTGCTGGTCCCTCTTTCAACATTTTTCATTTTACAAATATACTAAAAGATAAACTATGTATGTGAGTAGGGACCAGGTTCTAATGGAAGTTTAGAACAGGAGGGTTCTCAAAGCAAACTTCTGAGCCTTACTCCTGCAACTGTTTATTGAACCCTCCTATGTAGAGAGAGAACAGTCAAGATGAAACAGTGTGCTTAGCTAGTGAAGAGAAGATCTAAGACTCAAATCTACTACATTCTTTTGTTTGTTTGTTTGTTTTGAGAGGTTTTTGCTATAGGGTGCATGCACTCACCAGAAAGACACAGAGAGACAGATAGAAAGCAAGAAATCACCCCTTGGGGGGATGGCCATGCCACAGTCCCTTCTCCTCTCTGGATCTTGGGCACACGTGCATACGTGCCCAGCGTGAGTTTAAGCCACCTGGTCCGGCACTCGAACTGTGATTGACTACATGGGAGTTCAGCGACATAGCCATTACGCTAACTGCTGGTCCCTCTACTACATTCTTTTGCTTCACTGAAAATGTCCCATGATTCCATTCATTCTCTTAGGAAATGTTTATTAAATATCTCTTATGCTCAAAGCATTTTACCAGGGGCAGTGTGGGATATATGATACATCAACATTTGTGTAGTAGTGGAAAGAAATGTACTTCGCGGGGTCAGCAGGTGGCATGGTGGTTAAGGTGTTGGACATTCCCACATGGCTGATCACAGTTTGAGTCCTGGACCTGCTGGCTTGCTTTCTCACTTTTCCTCTCTCTCTCTGTCTCTCTGCTCAAATTAAAAGAAATGAATGAATAAATAAAATTAAAATAAACCTTTAAACAATTTTTAAAAAGAAATGTACTTAACATTATATTGACTGGCTTGAATCCCTTTCTTGGATGACATATTCTTTTAACTATTAAATTGGTAAGTTTTTTTTTTTTTTTTTAAGAAAGGAACTGCATGTTATTAGTGACTAGCATGCAGGAGGTATTTGGTACATTTATTTTTCTTTTCCTCAACTCTACTTCAAGGTGTTTGCTAGAAGGTAAGAGATCACAGAAGTCTCCTTAAGAATTGGAAGGCTGGGCCCAGCAGATGGTATAATGGTTACTTTGCTGAATTCCCATGTAGTTGACTGCAGTTCGATTCCCAGACCTGGCAGCTTCAAACTTATGCCTGGTGTGTGTGTGCGTGTGCCCAAAATCCCAAGAGGAGAATGGAGGAGAAGGGATTGCATCATGGTCATCCCCCCTGGGGGGTGATTTCTCACTTTCTGTTTCTCTTTCTCCTGCAAGCACACATACCCTATAGCAAAATAAATCTCTCTTAAAAAAAAAAAAAAGTGAAATGTGAAGGCTTAGGACCAGCAGATGGTAGTATAGTGATTAAGGCTGGTCTCCCACCTGGCCAACCGCAATTTGAATCCTGGACCCAGTGGCTTGAAACTCACACCAGGCTTGTGTGGGTGTGTGTGCCCAAAATCCCATGAGGAGAATAGAGGACAAGAGATTGCAATGTGGCTATTCCTCCTGGGGGGTGTTTTCTTGCTTTCTGTCTCTGTCTCTCCAGCAAGCACATGTGCCCTATAGCAAAAATCTCTCCAAGAAAAAAAAAAAGAAAAGAAAAGAATGGGAAGGCTTAGGTAAATTTTTGATTTGGAGTTTGTATTAAGTGGAAGGCAACAAAGGTAGTGAAGTGACGGGATTCAGTTAAATAATCCTGTCCAATTAAATGCCAACCATTGGAACTTAAAGAGAAGGAGAAAACTATGAGCTACAAAACCCAGGTTGTCTGCTATCTTAGTCCATTTAGGCTGCTATAACAGTACCATAAACTGGACAGTTTATAAACTAGAGAAATTTATTCTCACTGTTCTGAAGGTTGACAAGATCAAGGCAGATTTGTTGTCTGATGGGGTCCTGCTTCCTAGACAGTGGTCTTTTCACCATAACCTCTTTGGGTGGATGGGACTAAGGATCTGAGGTTTCTTTTCCTTCTTTTTAAATATTTAACTAACAATACTTCTATATACTATGGGATACAATGTGTATATACATACCCGTGTGTGTGTGTGTGTGTGTGTGTAAATCAGGCTGATTAACATATCCATCACTTCATGTACTTAATTTTGTGGTAAGTGGGGTCTCTAATAAAAGGGCACTAATTCCATTCCTGAGAGCTGCACCTTATAATCTAATCACCTCTCAAAGGTGACCACAGCACTTCGTTCCTTGCAAAAGCGTCTACAGTACAGTGTTGGTTCAATATACTAAGTTATGACAATAGCCGGCCTGAAAAATGATAAACATGCCTTTTTGTGGGTGATAAGATACAGAGGTTTCTTTTATTTAGAGAGTGAGAACCAAAGTTTAAAATTTAATAGTTTTTCCAATAGTTTAGCCCCAAAAAGCAAAACATGTAAAAACAGGCAAGTTGTAAAGTAGGTTTTACAACTCTTAAGTCGCTAATTAAAAGACAAAAAAACTGTCTTGAAAACAGATAAACAAAAAAAGTACTGTAATATTTAATATCCATCTCAAAAAACTAGTTATATATCTTAAAAATTCAACAACAAAAAATACTATAACCAGTTTTAATATACATTGCAAAGATACTACGCCAAAAACAAGATGTAAAAAAATCCTATCGTCAATTTAAAAAATGGCCTGCTAATGTTTGTGTGCATGACTCCCTTCAGGCCCTTTAGAAAATTTTTTAAAAACAAAAATGTCAGACTTCTGTCCTCACCTCAAATCAAGGCATCTTCTCTGATTAGATCAAGAGGCAAATTCCATATTGGACTATTTTCTGATTAGATCAAGAAGAGGCAAATTCCATATTGGACTATATATATATATATATATAAACATTTTTCACTTATTTAAAGAATACCTAAGATTACACTTAAGAGTCAAGAGCTAGAATTCGGAGGTGCAGGTATCAAAACACGCAGTCCCAGTTTCCAAGTAGATAGACATATAATTTTTATTAGTTTAGCGGCAACTGAGACATCTGTAGCAGCGCCGAACAAAGATATTCCATTCAAAATTTTGGATACTTTAAAATGAGAAAAGTGACACATTTCACAGACTATAAAATTACGCTGCATTCTTATTTTCACAATGTCATGCTAATTTCAACGATGCTTTAGTGAAGCCCCGAGGGAAAACTAAGGAAGTATGATCGAGTTCTTACTGAGTTATTCTTCTCCAAAATCAGCCCTTCACATTTTCCCGGTAAAAACAGAAGCTTGGGCCAAGTCTCGCCCTGGCTTTTGGAGGAACATATCACCCGGGATACCAACGGGAGGCACGCGGACGCCGCATTCTCCAGGCGCCATTCGGCTCTCCCACGTGACAGGGCTTTGGGGACTCGCCCCTCCTTCCTGATTCTGAGCAAGATGCTAACGCCCTCTGGAGCCCTTCCTCCTGACGTCACGAGTGCGATTCCGCTCCTTGGCCAATCACACGGCCGGATTCCGGGGAAGCCCGAGGCGGCAGCGGCGGCCTGAGCGCGTGCGCGAGGTCTCCGCGTGGCTATATAAACATGGCTGGCGTGTCTGCGCGGCAGGGCCGTGGCGAGCGCGCGTAGAGGGGCTTCGGGGCGCTGGGTTTGTAGTTTGGAAAATTCTGGCGGGGGAACTTCGGTGCAGAGTTGGGCTTTGAGGTGGGAGCGACACCTTTCCGGAGCCGCGCGGGGGGATCCGCTGCAGCCGCACCCGGGGCAGAGGCGCCGGGCTGAGCCGGCGCACGTGTGAGTGCAGCCGAGGAAGCGCCAGGCGCCCGAGAGGGGCTTGCTGCGTGGCGGCCCCGGCTCGCACCGACTGGGAAAGGTCCCGGACGCACGGGTGTTGGTGCCATCCGGCGCCCGTCGGTGACTTTTCTGCTACGGCCCCTGTGCCTGTCCCCAGCGATGCTGTGGAGCCGGAACTGCACTGTTGTCGGCTACCGGTTTTCAAGCATTTCCTCGCCTCTGCTCCCCGAACGGCAGCGCTGCAGCAGCTCCTGATTCCCCAGGGGGGATGCCCGCTGGCCTCTCCGCACCGGGTGGGGCGCCCCCTGGCCTCTCGGAACCGGCTGGCGCCGCCCCTCCCGCTGGTGTGAGCGCATCAGGGACCGTGACCATGGCCCCAGCCGGGGCTCTGCCAGTCCGGGTGGAAACCACTCCAGTGGCCCAGGGCGCCGTGACTAAGGCTCCTGTCAGTGTCTGCGTGGATACCACGACGTCCCAGCCCCTGCGGCCCCCTGTGGGGACCTTGGTGACCAAAGTGGCTCCTGTCAGTGCTCTTCCTAAACTCAGCAGTGGCCCTGGGTTGCCTGCTCCTCAGATAGTCACCGTGAAAGCCCCCAGCGCCACAACAATCCAGTTGCCGGCTAATTTGCAACTTCCTCCAGGTATGTCGATCACCCACCCCTTCCAGTCTTATCCATCGATAAAGCCAGCGGTGACAAGGGAAACGTCACATACTCAGATTGCTTCTTGCTGGTAGCTCTAAAACTCCTGAGCCGACAGAACCTTTCATAATCTTGACTTTGCAGTGAGCGTACAGGAAGCAGCCTATTGGAAAGTGATTTGGCTTTACAGTTCATAGCGTCATATGTCATTACTGCATAGTTTTTCTTCTCGTGTTTAAGGAGAGAATTTTTCACCTGAGCGACCCAATGAAAGCTGGAGCAGCATATTCAGGTGGGCCTTTGAGGCACTGGCTCCTAGGTGGAGGAGAGGGAATAAGGAAAGTTTATTTTCATATGGAGAAAGGGCCGGCTTGCACATTTACATTCTGATGTTAAAGACAAGTGTTTTAAAGTTCTTGCATGTTAAGACTGAAAGAATTTTAAATTTAAGCAAACCAGAATAAGGGAACAAGTGCCAGAGATGACAGATAGATCAAAGTCATGTAATTACTACATTGAGATTTGTGAATACCACTGTTGTCCTAGTGTTTATTACTGTTTTAATAATTCATGCAAAGGTTTTGCTTTGTGATCATATACATAATGTAAATGTGCTGGATAGTATTCGTGTGTTCCTTTTACCTCAACTGAAAACCTCTTGGAATTTTCCATTAATTTTGCTTAGTAGTACTTGGAAGTCTACTTGCCAAGCATGGTAAAGAAGTAGAGAAGCACTGATTCCAAAGATAACAGTATATCCTAGAAAAATGACAGTGGCTCTTTTTGTAGCTGATGTCTTAGTTGGTTAGAACACTGTAGACAGCTTGTTCTTCACTTTTTGTGAAGTTCTTTTCCAATTTTTTAACGTAAATTTGTTAAGGCTGTATGTAGCACTGGAGACACAGTTTTTTTTTTTTTTTTAAGTGGTTTTTGCTATAGGGCGCATGCACTCACCAGGCAGACAGAGAGAGAGAGAGAGACAGAAAGCGAGAAATCACTCCTCAAGGGGGACGGTCACACCGCAATCCCTTCTCCTCCATTCTCCTCTCCGGATCTTGGGTACGCACGCACACGCGCCCGGCATGAGTTTTAAGCCACCGGGTCCAGGACGCAAACTGCAGTCAACTATATGGGAGTCCAGCGAAATAGCCATTACGCTAACTGCTGGTCCCTGGAGACACAGTTTTAAGTTGTCATCCTGCATACACTCAAAGTAGTTATGAATGAAATTACTCCTAATTTGTTAAAATATAAATTCCTGTTTAGTCATTGAAGTTTGCTTAGAAACAGTAAAAAAAAAAAAGTACCAAGAGAGAATTGTCAAGAGTGAAAACTTTCAAACTCTGTGTAGAGTCTAGGACACCATAACTCGCTGCACAAGAGAAGACAGATTCCATGTGGTGACTGAGGTTCGAATCTCTATCAGGCCAGCCTCAAAACAGGCAGCATGCCCAAGATGCACCTGACTAGAAAATGGAGGAAGGGGACATTGCATGACCAGACCCTTTGGTGGGCATTCATCTCTGCAACACTTTCACCCACATGCATGCACTCTATTGTGAATAAAGAAAAAAAAGTGAAAATTTGCTCCTAAGTGGGAACAAATCACTTATATGAGTGCTTACTGTGATTTGCACTTTTTATACATTATTTATATTATTTCACTTGTTGGTCATAATAGGTAGCAAATAAGGAACAAAGTCTTCAGTGGTAAATAATTTGCCCAATGCCGAGCAACTCATAGATGTCAGAGAGGATTTGAATCCAGGCCTGTTTAACTCTTCTTGACATAACACTATGCTTACCATAAAGGCATGTACTTCTGCCTGATTAAGTATCAGTGCTGAAAGGTGATTTAGAAAACTTTAGAGCCTAATCTCGTATTTTATACACCAAGAAACCAAAAGTGAAACTTGCCTGAGGTAATTAGCAGTCAGATAGAGCCAAAGCCTAGGTAAATTCTTAGCAGTACACTAAGCATTTTATGCTACTGACCATGGAGAAACCCCTCACTAAAGAGAGGAGATAATTTGTCTTTAAGAGCAGATTTGTGCGGACCAGCAGATGGCATAATGGCTATGTCGCTGAACTCTCATGTAGTCAACTGAGGTTCAAGTCCTGGACCCAGTGGCTTAAACTCAAGTTGGGCGTGTGTGTGTGTGTGTGTGTGTGTGTGCGCGCGCGCGCATGTGTGCCCAAGATCCCAATGTGTGCCCAAGATCCCAAGAGGAGAATGGAGGAGAAGGGATTGCAGCGTGATCATCCCCCCGGGGGGTGATTTCTCCCTTTCTGTCTGTCTTTCTCTGTCTTTCTGGCAAGTGCAGGTGCTCTATAGCAAAAAACCTCTCAAAAAAAAAAAAGAAAAAAAAAAAAAAGAACAGATTTATGTTTGTCTCAAGAGGAAGGGGCTTGTTTTGCAGAGTTCCTTTTGCGAATGTCTGGATGTGTGGCAGAAGAGCATGCAAAAAGTTCATGAAAAATGTGCACTATGAAAACTATACATGGATTGCAAAAAATTTTTTTACTAGAATAAACTTGTGCTTTACTATTTTTTCACAAGCTTTTTCAAATCCTCTTTACTAACAACATTTGTGCTCTTGGTGCAGACAGAGTAAGATAGCTGAGGTATAAAATGGAAACATTGATAAAAGTAACTTTTTTTTTTTTTTTCTTAATTTGCTAGAGAACAGGGATGCTGGAGAGAGAGGAGGGGAATGATACCCCTTCCCCCCATGGATTATGGCCATGCTGCAATTTCTTCTCCATCTCTACCTTCTGTTGCAATTTTGGATGCATGTGCATTTGTGCATGCATGCTCTGCCTGTTTGCCTAGCCCCACAGGGAAACCCACTCACACCTCTCAGTTGGCTATGTGGGATCCAGCTGCCTTAATAAGCACCACCACTTGCCGGCCCTAAAGTAACTTTTTAAAAAGGTTATGGCTCTTATATATCATTTATTTTGTTTACCAAGGATTAATAGTAGGTTACTGGAGCATGCTTAAATCATATGCTAGTTCTTTGTTTGCCATGATAGTGAATCCTTTCAGTATTTGACTTTTCTCTTTGGAGTTTCCTCTGTGAACAGAACTGGTTTTACAAAACATGCTTATGCACAGTTTATTCTAAGAACAGGGACTAGAAATAAAAAAGTTGTAGGGGGCATTGATAGGAAGTGAAAAGTTTTTGGTAATCTCTTCACTCTTTTGTGAACATTTGGGATTTTAGGCCAGACTGATAGGCCTTTATGTTTTTTGTGTCTTGAATCTCTTCTATAACTTGAGAGTGATGAGCAAGGAATTGCTTACTTTTTAAAAATGTTTAGTTTATTGGGACCAGCAGTTAGCATAACGGCTATGAAGCTGGACTCCCATGTAGTCGACCACAGTTCAAGTCCCAGACCCCGTGGCTTAAACTCACGCCGGGCGTGTGTGTGTGTGCGTGCCCAAGATCCCAAGAGGAGAATGGAGAAGGGATTGCAGCGTGGCCATCTCCCTGGGGGGTGATTTCTCGCTTTCTGTCTCTCTGTCTCTCTGGCGAGTGCATGCACCCTATAGCAAAAACCTCTCCTCCCCCCCCCCAAAAAAAAAGCTTAGTTTATTTACTTTTTTCACAGATAGAGAGACAGACAGAAATGAGGGTGTTGCCACACTGTAGTCTGTTTCCAGCCTCAGCTATCCTGGATCAAGGGCCTTGCATGCACAGGTTGGACTCTGGATGGGAATCTGGGAATTTCCCATGAGGATCCAGCATTGTGGCCTTGCTATGCCACCATATAGCTCTTTATTACTTCCTTTTTTTTTTTTTTTTTTATCTTGCCATCTAGAATGGGTGTGCTTGCACGCAAGAGAAAGAAAGGTCCCCTCAGTGGGGCTGGCCATGCCACAGTCTGTTTTCCTCCACTCTCCTCTCAGTGTTTTGGATGCATGTGTACTCCGTGTGTATTTTCAAGCTGCTGGATCCCGGACTCAAACTGTGCAGTTGGCCGTGTGGGATCTAGTGCCTTAAACACCATACCACCTGTTGGCTATTTTTTTTTTAAAAGAATATTTATCTCTTCCATGAATTGAGAGAAGACAGAGACAGCACCCCAACGGGATCTTAATGCCATGCTCGACTGCCACTCTCAGTCAGCCCCAGGTCATGGGGACATTCATGCTGAGTGTTCTCAGGGAGATGTCTAGATGTGAACCTGGAACCTTTCCACTTCTAGCAGAGTACTGTGTTTTACTTCTGTGCCGTTGTCCAGCCTCATGATTACTGCTCTTCTGTCATACATGGTGATAAGTTCTGCATGATAGTCTTAAACAAGTTTGTGAAAGTTGCTTGTCAAGCAGTTGAGGTCCTTTTTCATCAGCCTGTCTTCTTGCTGAGAGCTGGCATAGACTATGCATCATGTTTATCAAATTTCTGAAGGAGTTTCTGGTTAAGATGGTGGTTCTTTGTTTTCACTCTAGCTTTATCAGAGGGATACAATGTATATGATCATCTGCAAAGTCCCTACCTGCTTCTGGGTTTAGTGAAATGAAAGGCTTCTAAAGAATGGCAGTGCTCACCATCCATGTTAGGGTCCCAAAGGCTGGAGAGCCACTTTACCCGGATAGTGTCAGTGCCATCATTCTGTTCCTATGTACAAGTCATATTTTTCACCACCATAGTACTCTTAACTCTATTATTGTTGCTTCCCCCTACCCTTTTTAAAAAGAGACTTTTGCTATAGGGCATGTGTGCTCACTGGAGAGACAGACACAGAAAGCGAGAAATCATCCCCTAGTGGAGATGGCCTCACTGAAATCCTTTCTTCTCCGTTTTCCTCCAAAATTTTGGGCACACACACACATGTTCACCCAGAGTGAGTTTTAAGCCACCAGGTCAGGCACTTGAACCCAATCTACTAACCAGTCCAGCGATGTAACCATTACGCCATCTGCTGGTCCCTGTTGCTTCCCTTTTAAAAAATGAGTTTCACAGTGACAGGGGCTTTAATGTCACTAACTTCAT